GGGGGGGGGGATGGGCTAGCCTGGTGATGGGTATTAAAGAGGGCACGTACTGAATGGAGCACTGGGTGTTATATGCAAACAATGAATCATGGAAGACTACATCAAAAACTAATGATGTAATGTATGGTGGTTATTTAACATAACATAATAAAAAAAAAACCTTAACAGTACTTTTCAGCACATATTATATGCCACTCATCTTCAAATTAATCACAAGGACAAAGACTTCTCTATCTTGCCTGAGTGTCTGAAAGGACAAGGAAAATAAAATTGTGAACTAATTTAAATCATTCTAATTCTTGCTTTTAAAAAGGCATGAATATATACTATGTTTCCGTAAAAATGGAAATCTGGTATATTAGAATAGTTTACCAACTTCCTATGTTAATATAAAAACATTTCATGTGTAATATTATGAAAATCTGACTTCTTTTTAAATGGTATCATTTGGTTGTAACAGTCATTTAACATTTATTTTCTGAAAAAAAAAAGTTCCTTTAAAGTATCATACAAGCTTATGGAAATAAATCACTCTGGTTAAATCTCTTATTAACTGATTTTGTAGTCATGAAGAGCTAACCCAAACAGAAGCAACTACATGTGTTCAATAGTTGATCACTATAATCACTCCGCTTATTCTTTGCTGCATGGTTCCTTTTCCTCCTTCCATATCCAAAATATAGGTGTTATCCAGTACTTTCCATGGCCCTCTTGTAACCCTTTCCCTGTACATCTCCCTCAGTAATCTTTACCTGAAAGTTAAATGATACTATTAAAATGGACAAGTGCCATTTATGTATTAAGACCTAAGTCTACATGTTCAATTATCTCTAGATCATCTCATTTGTTTGTGCTTGGGAAGACAGGCTGCTCTTTTGCAGGTCTAATGGCCTAGAACAGAGAATTCCAACAATTGTACACTAGATTGGAACCTTAGGGAGAAATTCCCTCTCCTTTATATACTTAACTTGGGATAGTCTTTTTTGGGTTTTACTCTTTCATTCTAATGGAAAAATTCTTCCCTCTTCAAAATTCAAACCATCCTCCATCTTTTCTAATGTTTGTCATTTATTTATCCCTCACCTTGTTAATCCTCCTAACTAAACTTTGGTTCCTGACTGACTTTCCTCTTTTTCTTTTCAATCCCAATTTATCATTCTGAATGACTTCTCTGACCATGCAGATAACCAACATTTCAGTTCCAAAGTTATGTGACTTCTTTTTCCTCCCATAATCTTGGCTTAAATTCCATTTCAGCAACTTCCTAGACTGTTTATATCTATCACCTCATTTTTCTTGCTATATCTGCTTTGGATCAATCCTCTTATACTCCCATAGCTGAGCTGCTAGGAACAATGAAAGGAAATGATATAACTGCATTCATTGGTACCCCAACACTAACCTAAACTCTTAACTAGGCCCTCAGCACTATTTGGCAATCCTTTTAGGGAGTCTGTGGTAAGCTCTCTTTCATATTCACGCCAATCTGTACACATATCTAAATCACCTTACAGAGTTTTTTACTGTATTATTTAATATTCATGTTTCTAGTGGATTTTAGAATCTTATATGTAAAACAATATAATAATTTCTAAAAATATGTATTGAATGCTAATAAATACAATTAATGTATTCTATAGGCCAAAACAACAACAAAAAGGTTATTTATTTTCCCACTCTCCTTTAACAAAAAAATGAAGTCCCTAAAAACTACTCCAGTGTTTTGGAGAAGTAAATCTCAAGAAAATTTAAAAGTGCCTGACACATTTCTTAACATAAATTACTTTCTATGTTAAGAGAAAATTGAAGCTACCAATCTGCAAACTTACCTGTATAATTGTGAACTGTTCTTATTGCCTTCTTAGTTTCTCAGAGGAAAAAAGTAATTTTTTATGTCTAAAACATCTCTATGAGTGACTCTAAATTCCAACAGTCCTCATCCTTCTCTGAATCTTGCTCTATTAGTTTACCCTTTTTTCTTTTTCTGATCAGGACCTTCCTAATTCCTCCTCAGTATGTAACTATGCTGGAATCTCTCTCATCCTGAAAAAATAACACCTCTTAATACCCATGGTCCCACTCACCCACTTGCTGTGTGATCATTCGGACTAAAATATACATTTCAAAGGATTTTGCTCTCCACTCTTATATTTGATCAATTGAATAAGACCTTCACATTATTTTGCCTTTACCTTATCAAAGCCACAACCATCTAAGTTAAAAGCCTCATTTACCACTTATGTGAACTACTTCAATAACTCATCTTTTCACCTATAGTGTCTCTACTTCAATCCATTTAACACATTGTTACCCATATAATATTTCTACATGTACAATTGTAGTCACTTAATTCCTCTGCTCTAAAATCTTCAGGGCTTACCAACTGCTCACTCAGTAAAGTCTTAACATAGTACTTAACACAGTCTTCTAATTTCTAGTTATGTTATTTAGCCAATCTGTATCTCCACATAACAAAAATGCTATTATATAACAACTAATTATAGTTGTCTATAGTTAAACTCTTCTGTTTAATGCATATCTATAGATGCTAAATTAGCATTTGTAATTAACCCAGGTACTTTTAAAAGGCTCCTCCATTTTTGCATGAAGACTTTAGACTGACAAGCACACAAAAAAGATTTTCACTAGAATTCCAAGGTGCAGATGACTGGATGGTTCCAGCTGCTAAGAATTACCTAATGAGGGGTTACTATAATTATGGAAAAACAGACTGGCTCACCTGTGCATCAGCAAGCTGCACAGCAGGAAACCCTTGGTTGGCTTCTTCTACACCTGCCACATCATCCTGACTAGTGCTATGCTGAGAATGTGTTCCATCCAAAGTATTCTGGTCACTAGATAAGACGGTGTTGAAATCTGAGGCTGAGGGTATTGTAGGAAGATTGGGTGCAACACCTAACAGAGTAAATGTTCAAGAGTAAAATCTGAATTAAGAGGAAATAAAAACAACATAAAAGGGCACAGCAAAGTAAACTTATGAAGCCTGTATTACAGCAGTATTACCAGACCATTTACACTGAATAAAAGTAAAAAAAAACCAAAACAAACACAACACTTTTTGGTCATTTTACAGACATGATTTAATAATAAAAATGAAATTAAACTAAAACTTCAGAAAATATCAGTCATTCTCATACACGAAGTCTGTATTAGAGCCAGTCAGTCAAAAATACAGAAATTTATGGCCAGAAGATCTTTGAAAAGCATCTGATATCCCCTCAGCTTTGCACTGAGGAGCAGAGTTACAGACAGCAGCAGGGCAAAAGCCACAGATGTCACAGAATCCCACATGTAAATTTCTTCCCAATTATGCTTTCCTGAGGCAGAACAAAAATAAAATGGTGCTATTTCTTTCCTCTGTATTCCCTTTATCCTCTAACGCCCAGGCAAAGGATCCATGAGAAAGAGGAAATGTTCTTTTTTGTTTTTCTCAAAATTTAAACTGTGCAGTAGTGAGACTGTGCTACAACAGTGCTGAGAGCTGGCGGAAACAGCGTCCTCTTCTCTTCTTCAAAGAAGAGCCAATGCTAAGAACTGGAATGCAGTCATAACTAGGATCAGTTTCAGATTCAAGAGTGATCCACATACCAGCAAAACAAAGGACTGAGTGAGTAGTCACTTATCAACCATATTTCATACTGTATTTTCTATATGAACAGAATTTGCTAGCAATGCAAATAGCTGTTACATGGACTAATTTCAGCTGCCTTCAGTACCTAGGATCAAAGTCTACTTCGCATGTTTAAAAAAAATTTTTTTTTACAAGAATACATGCATCCACTAAATTTGGAAAAATATCCCAAAAAGAAAAAAATAGAAAATGAAGGGTGGCACCACTTATGTTTCTGGAGATAGCCACCAACATTTCTTGGTGAATTCCCTGCCAGTGTTCTTGCTCTTTACACGTATTCTTTTAAAATTAATAAGTTGCCCTCATTTCTTCCTCAAAGATAAAATCTTATTTTATTCCTCTTAGTACACCTTTAGGTTTAATTATTTAAGTAACTATAAGAGTAAAAGAATGCTATTATTATTTCTCAGAGGAATCTGAATAAACTATTTTCTGTATTATAGGTACATTATGCCATATTCTTTGCATTTTTTCATTTACCTCCTTTTGGCATTTTGAAAATTAAACCGGCCACATTAATTGGACGTTTTAAACTCTAATTTAAATTACATAAGATCTCACATATGACGTATTTGTCTTCTCACAAGAATACCAAGTGACTGCTTACAATTCTCTCAATTCAGTATTAACCAAGGCATTTCATAAATGGGCAAATTTCAACTAAACAGTATTAAACATTTGATATTTTGAACATTCTGTGAAAAACAGAATTTTGTTAAAATTTACATATGTCCCTTAGACAGTTAAGCGAAATAACATGATAACTCAATACCTGATGGAAGACTATTGTGTGCGGATTTTGTAACAGGAGATTCTTGTACCACACTTCCACGATTACCCACAGCATTTGACATCCAATTATAGAAACTCACAGATGATGGCTCAGATAGCAACGGATGTTCAGATAACATATCAGTGGCCATTGTATTTCCTGAAAATAAAATTTTATTGAGTATAGTATTACTTATGTAATAAGCAGAAAATGTGATTTATGTAATTATTTTTTAAAAGTCAGACCAAACTGTCTTTTGCAGATGTTTTCAAAATCACTGCATGATGTTGGTATTTGGATATTAAGGCACTAATAAACAACTTCTTTTTAATATAACAAGAAGAAATTCACTGTTGGATGGCTTAGACATCATCTCATACCCTGACTAGGCTGATAGTAATATCAAATGCTGCAATTTAGAAACGTAAACTAAGGGCATGAAGATACCAACAAGTTACAAACAGAACAGTTTCCCAAACTACTTTTTCAAAGATAAGCTGTAATACGTAGATTAGTTATACAACCAAAGTATAAAGCAAAATAAACTTAAGTCCTATTTGTTTTTTAATTCTCACATGGAAGTAAACTTATAATTGTCAGAACTGAGGAAGTACCTGTTCTCGTTAGGGAGCTGCTTTTTATAGCTGCACTACTTCTTTGAGGAGTCCCTTCTAGGAGGTTGTGCAAGCTTGGGAAGCTTCCAGTCAGGTAGCTGAGTAGGCTCTCCTTCCTTGGACTCTCCTTAACTGGCATCCCAGCACGTCCAACATGTACCGGAGAATCTGTGGCAGTGTCTCCACTGGTATAGCTCAAAGAATGATATGGGTGAATACCCTACAAAAGGAACAACACAGGGCTCTTTCTCATGCATATAAAAATGACTGCTAATAACTAACACTACTAGTACTGCTGCTATTACTGCTAATTACTATTCACATTAATACCAAAACAGATTGTGCTTACTAGGATTGTGGTGAATCTCAAATGTACACAAACATGTTTTAAAACTTTACAGTACAATACCAAGGACAGCTCTTATCATTCACTTATTTTAATAATGAATTATTAATTCCCTTTGAAATCTAAAAAGTGTGTCTGGTGGCAAGATTTCAATCCCAAAATTCTTAATACTATACTACTCTTGTTGGTACCTTGATAATGAAAATCTATAAGAGATTCTCTGTAGAGTCCTAATATGCCAAAAACAATTTCCAGCAATTCTCTGAGGAAACTTAAAAAATTACAGAATTGCCCATCTCTATCTGTTCTGTCACATCTAAGCTCAGAATTTCAGATCAGCTTAAAATAGTATAAGAAAAGACTATACAGACAGAAAGATCCTGAAAAGAAGAGATCTGAAACAAAACAGTGCAATTCAATTTTTTGAGGACTTTTATAATTCATAAACAAAGGAATGTTGGTAGGGTTAGGAAAAACCAACGAACGGGAAAAAAATCTGAGACTGATTAAGGATGTGAGAATTTAAAAGTATTCTGGCTTCAAACTATACTATAGAAATAGAATAAGCTTAATAGTTCAAATTTTTAAAAAAATGTATATTAAACTATCATTGAATGTTTTAATTAAAAGAGCAATACTTACACAGAATAAAAACTTTAAAAGCACAGACAATTCAATAAATCATATCCCCTGAGCTCGTCTACTAGATCCCTTCCCCTAGAAGTACTCTTAACTTTTCTTATCTCTCCTCCTTAAGTAATTTATAACTATATAAGCACATGTACATATTTATCCTTTTTTAACACACAGATACATATTGTTTTATATTTTGTTTTTACTTTAATCCAGGTACTTTGGTAACCATTCCATATCCACTTAGAGATCTACATCTTTCTGAAGTCTTTATGGTATGCATCTCTGTATCAGGATACACTAGTTTATTAGTCCTCAAATAGTCATTTATGTTGCTTCCATTATTTTCCTATTATAAACAGTGTTGTAAAGAACATTATTGCACATGTGTCTCTCAGCATTTATGAGCATTCATTTCCTTAGAATGAATTCCTGGACATGAACATACTGGGTGAAAGAATATTACATTTTAAATTTTGATACAAAATGCCAAATTGGTCTTCAAAGAGTTTGTGCCAATTTGCACTCCCACCAGTACTGTAGAAGAATGTCTGTTTTTCCTTATCTTCACCAACATACACCATTCAAATGTCAGTGTTTTCAATCTGAATTGTGAAAATGGAAATCTCATTTTTTTTAAATGAAGCTGATTTTTTTAAAATTTTATTTTATCATGTTATGTTAGTCACCATACAATATATCATTAGTTTCTATGATTCACTGTTTTCGTATAATACCCAGTGCTCCATGAAATCTCATTTTAACTTACATTTCTTTAATCATAAAAGGATACATTTTCGTATTTGTGTGTGTATTTCTCTGTGAACTGCGCATTAACCGATTCTCTATTTGATTGTGTTCTTTTTCTTAGTGATTAGAAAAAAGATCCTTATATATGAAGAAATTAGCCCTTTGTCAAATGTCTATTTTGTTTATAACACATTATTTTTTCTGTGTAGAAATCTTATATTTTAATATGGCAAAATTATCAGTCATTTACCTTACGGATTCTGAGTACTAATGTAAGTCTATACCCAAACTTTCAAAGAAAGTTAAAATACTAATTGTCTGTCATTTTCATTGCTCAGAAAAGGAAACTAACAAAACATAAATAACCCATGACAACAACAAATAACTTACATGCTTATTACGTGTGGGTATTGTTCTAAGCATTTTTCATGTATTAACAGTTATTTCTTAACATCCATATTCTGGAAAAAGTTACTATTGTAATCTCAATCTTACAGATAAGGAAACTGACACACGGTACAGTTAAAAATTTGTTCAGTCACAAAACAACTAAGTGGTAGAGGCAGAATTGAAACCAAGGCTGTCTGGCTCCCAAGGTAGTATTCAACCACCTTGCTATATACATGTCTTACCAAGCACTGGTTAAGTTTCTTAAAACAGTGTAATTAAAATCATAAAATAGCCTAACTCAAACTGTTTATGTTGCTAATCATGTTCATTTCAACATAAAAATATTTATTATTACTCAATTATTGTTATTAATTCTTGAATATAAAATACTATTTGAATATTTAAATTTAAACACCTAATGTTTGAATTTGAGATATCAGAAATTTAGGTCTTCTCTGGAAGTCTACTCTAACCAGAAACAGCAATAATGTACCTTTATCTTTAATGCAGAGTCACTGTGGGTATGAGTCTTAGAAAGTTTCCTCATTATTTCAGCTCCAGTTACAGGTCCAGAGCTACCAGGTGGAGGACGGTTGGCTGTTCCTTCTAGTAGCATTGTGTGTTCACTGACTGTGGCTGAAATAGTTCAAAAGAGTAAGTGGGCTATAGATTATCATTTTCTTGAAACATCAATACCAGTGTTCCTGGTGGTGTAACTACCACTCAACTTTACATATTCCTTGAGTAAACAAATTAAATTAATTAAATTTCCTTGAAATTAATTGTGGAATCTGCTATATTATTTTTTGTGTTTCTTTTACTCTCCCAACCCCAATCTTCTCACTCAGTCTCAAGAAAGGAACAAATAGCTTGTATTCAGTCCCTCCACATCCCAGCCAAAGGGATGAGAGGAAAAAAAACCAACTAGGCTCAAAGTACAGAACTTTCAGATTAATCCAAGAATTTGCAGACAGTTAATTAGAAGGGAGCCAACATGGGGCTTGATATTACAATGCTGGGATCGGGACCTGAGCCGAAATCGAGTCGGATGCTTAACCAACTGAACTGCCCAGGCACCCTTCCTCATAGCATATTCACTTTTAAGTATAAAGTTATTTTTTTAAAGACAATAAAAAAAGCTGGGTAAAGTATTATATATCAATGTTCTGAAAGCTCTAATTTTAAGGCTACTGTCCTTTTTCATGGTACTTTTAACATTTTTTTCCAAAATATCATAATTCAATATTATTGAATATTACATGTTGTGATAACAAAAGTTTACCCCCGAAAAAGCATTAAAATATGCACATATATTTCTGAAATGCATATCTACTGTCTGTGTTCTGGCACAGTCATTTTGCTGACAGAACTGTAGGCTGAATGCATGACTCTAAACATTACATAAATGCAGAATCAACCAGGCACCAGATAAAATTCAAAGACTCCTTTAAGTGGCATAGGAAAGATGATGAACAAATATGAATATGAATTTTATTTTTTTCAAATGTGAATTTTAAAAGGAAGTTAACATGCTTCATTCAAATATTCTAGCTATGCAAAGATATCTGTTATTGTATGTGATAGATTAGAAGAAATCTATCATATTTCATGAAATTAAATGTAAAAACCAAAAGTCAGTATAAAGATTACAACATTATTATTTATTTGGACTAATACAAATCATACTTGTATAATTAAGCCATAAGGGTTTCAAATTTCATACACAAATGATTAAAATTATCACATATTCATATCACATTATCACATATATATGTTATATATGTTACCAATATCTGGCTATATTTGACTAAAATATTTACAAACTACCTGCATCAAATTCAAATTCTGCTCCATCAGCACTGGTGTCACTTTGAAGACCACCTCCATTGTCTAGCCCAAGTCCGTCTTCATGTTCATGGTCCACAGCTGATTGAGGTTTCAGTGGCTGAGCTGGTCTGTGTAAGCTAACTCCTTTAAAGGCTGGTGTCACCACAATAAACTTCATCCACTGCCTTGCCAAAGCAACTAAACCTTTCTTTAATGTTACCAAAGCAGGAAGTCCATCACTCTGTAACAACAATGATGTAATAATGTTACCATTTAAATGCTTTGCATACATTTATTCATTTAAATCTCATAACCCCCATTTAGAGATGAAGAAACTAGAATTTATGTGTTATAATTTGTCCAAGGTCACAAAAGAGAGTATTTCAAGCTGACAATAGAACTGAATCTCTAAACACAACATTGTGTCTTTCTGTCACAAACAATGCAGTACCAGGTGAATAAGAGGCTAAATACGGGGTGCAAGATTGGGATTCTCCTTAAGAAGCATTCAATCCACTTTACCTTTTTTGTTCTATTGAGGAAATCAAATGAATTTTGAACTACCCGGAATCTTCATTAAACAAAGAGGAAATGAAATTACTCCCTTCAAAGATTAAGAACCACCACTATTTTAACATTTTAACTAAGACATTTTTTCCTAATTCTCCTACCTCTTCCTTTCCCTCCTCGGCATTCTGTATAGCTTTATTCACCTTCTCTTCACCACCCCCCTTTAATTTTGGTGCTCTTCAGATATCCATTCTTGACCAGTTTCTCCCTCAACATACCATCATTCCTAGAAGTCTCATCCATATCCACAGCTTCGAACACCTTCATGTTGGCAATTCCCAAATCACTTATCTGAGCCCCCACTGTTGTCTATAAGCCTGTATTTTTAACCATATTTCTCCTTTGGACTTCCCATCTGCATCTCAAACCCTGTAGGCCAATGAATGACTCCTCAAAAGGACAGAGGCTTCCTTTTTTTTTTTTTTTTTAAGATTATTTATTTTAGAAAGAGAGAGAGAGAGATTGGGAGAATGAGCAGGGAGAGGAACAGAGAGAGGGGGGATGAAAATATCCCAAGCAGACTCTGCATGGAGCCCAAAACAGGGCTTGATCTCACAACCCTGAGATCATGACCTGAGCCAAAACCAAGAGTCAGATGCTTAACTGACTGAGCCACCCCAGCGCCCCAAGAATAGAGGCTTCTTTAAAGCTAACATATGGTTTCAGTAACTCACCATTGTAGCATCATCAATGATGGAGTAATTTGCCTGGTGCAGGTAGTGATGTAGTATGTTGCACAGTAAACATGAAGGATTTTCTTGGAGAAAACGGGCAACTTTTGTAAGTCTGTTGTATTTACTTCTTAAGGGAAAATGTACACTTTTATTCTGAAACAAAGCAAAAACAACAGATTTAGAGTGATGTATCAAAGACACTGCAAAAAGAAGATATCCAGTAATCAACTTGCAGGTCTGATGTTTTCCAACAATGATGAACAATTAGAGATCATGTTCAATAACAAGATACCTTGTACTGTTGATAGACATACCTCTAATGCTTCTGTCATTATACATCCCATAACAGCACAAATTCTCAAGGTGCTCTCAGTTTCTAATTTGTTTAAGGATGATTTGAGTTGATCAATGGGAACAAGCCATGCACCAACAGCTGGAGTTGCAGTGCTTAAAAGGTTCAGCTGCCTTTGAAAATTAAAAAAAAAGAAATTATAAAAACAACTGTCAAGATTTGTATTTCAAACAATCTCCCATACCTACTGCACTTAGTGGCTATTTTGCTTAGGCAAAATTACTTTTCATTTTGGCTACCAGATAAATTATGAATATATAAGTAGAAAATGTGAAGAACAAATAATAGAAATGAAGAAAACATTAAAACCTATTAGAGGTGAGAGTAAGAAGTTCATGGTGGCATGACATATAATAGTAAAACTAAAGCCCTAGGAAAGAAAAAGGGTCAAACAAAATAAGAATAATGTCTACAGAAAGCATAAAGTAGGAAAGATGGTAAGAAGCTGGCAACCCTAATGCTAGATAGATCAGAAAAATAATTTAAAAAAATAACTGAAACAGAGTTATATGTTATTTAAAATGAAAAATCAAGGAATAGTACTACATGTTTAAAACTTTTTACCTAGAAAATGCATGTGTAGGAGATCTCACATTGGTGGGAGCTGCAAAACTAAACCAAATTTCCTTGATGGTCAACTTCATGCTACATGAATCTGGAGGTGGAGGCATCAGAGGTAAATCTTTTTTCAAATCATCAGATTCAACTCCTTCATCCTACATAAAATCAAAAACCAAAAACTTATAATGTATGGCTGCTTAAAACCGTTAGTGCCAAGGTAAATGTTTTAAGCACAAAATCTTCCCATCACATCAAGTTCTACAGATGACACCTTTATATAAAACAGGTAACATAAACCTTGCTCAGCCTAACCCTAATTCTGAGAAATACCTATAGATCCTTGAAGCTCTAAGGAGCATAGTCTGAAAAACCACTACATTGTAGTAAGCCATAAATCACTGATCTTAGAACTGAATGTTTCTCCTGATCATTTCATTCAATTACATTTGTTTAGGGATGTTTAAGTGTTATTTTTTCCAGATGAAAAAAGTGAGAGAAAGAGGTTTTGTGACTTGTTGAAGGTCTCCTATTAAGGAGAATGAGTGATAGAATCAAAGTCTTCTGCTTCCTACTACAATGTTTTCCATTCCATTTTTTTTCCATTCCATTTTAACAACATATTTCAAATTTCCAAAAACAAGTGCCATAAAAATACTAGTGTAGTCCATGTTCAAATAAATACCACTCTACAATAAAAAAATTCTTAGTTATCTTATATGCTAGCAATCTGAATCAATGTTAAGAAATAATAATTTTTTAAATGTATAATCACTACTCTTTAGAATGCAGGGAAGTAAGCATAATAGTAAAGAAACAAACAAAAAAGTCTACTGCCTGTTCTGTCTCCTCACAGCTAATTCACTTTTAGTTATTACTGGTCAAGATGAAGAAGACTGGCATTTTCTTGTGGGATGACTAAGGAATGAAGAATATCCACAAAATAGTTTTTTGAATCCTAAGTGCTAAAAAACAATGTGACTATAGGCAATAGTAATTTTAAAGTCAGACATGCTAGATATATAAGTCCACATTCCTTATCTGCAGCTCTAAAACTCATAACGTTCTGAGAAATCTAAATATTTTTGTGTAAATGTGGCATGAAAACCTGATCTGAATTTGACGAGAGGCTATTTATCCCACTTGGAATTTTTATGAATGTTGTGCTGTAAAAGTATTCAAATATTTCAAGATGGAATGCTGTCTCAGATTCCACTAGTTTATGTAACATATAAAACACACACCATATTACCTTTCTGTTAAAGGAAAAAAAAAAAATCTGAATTCTCAAATACATCTGACCTGTGGGTTTCAGACAAGGCTGTGAGCTAGGCACTAACGTATACAAAAGATAGAGAAGACAGTCTTCAAGAACTCAAAATTTTAAAAAGGGAAGGAGGCTTACAGATAATAAGCAACTAATTAAAATAGTATGTGAAGCAAAGCAATAATAAAGTTGGATTTAGGGGCGCCTGGGTGGCTCAGTTGTTGGGCGTCTGCCTTCGGCTCAGGTCATGATCCCAGGGTCCTGGG